CACAGACGGATTATGTCAAAACGTAGCATAGCAGCTCTTTTTTTTTAGGTAATAGTATAGTAGTTTATATGGAACCCTCGGTATGCTGACTATTTTGACCGGTCAACTAGACAAAATACGGAGCTCTACGGCGAGTCAGTGACCGTATAATTACCACAACTCGTATTTAATGACCGCATTGAGCGTATTCTAAAGTTCAGGGACCGTATCATGCTTTAGTCTCAACTTCAGTGACCACGGGTGTATTTATCTCAAAGCTCTATATGCAGGGCTTCGCCAAGAAGGGACGCCCGCTGGTGTACCTTTGCATCTAGCTATGCAGAGGTCGGGTGATCTTTGATGCGGTTGTATCAACTCGATATTTCAATTCAATGAAAAGCCCTTTATCGAAAAAAAAACTTCCCTGCCAAGCGCAACCTCGAAGAGTTCAAGCGCTATGTCATCTACATCCTCGATAACACCTGCACTAGGTATATAGGTTCAATTAGTTGAATGCATGAGTAATCTCGCCAGAATATACTAATAGGCATGTGTGTTGATATGCTGACATAGGTTGCAGGCAGGACAAGAAAAGTTTGCAGTGGTGGTGGACCTTTGGGGTTGGGGGTACGCGAACTGCGACATCCGAGCATACGTGGCGGCGCTGGATATCATGCAGAGCTACTACCCGGAGCGGCTGGGGAGGGTGCTCCTGATCCACGTGCCCTACGTGTTCATGGCGGCATGGAAGATGTTGCACCCCTTCATCGATGATAAGACCAAAGAGAAGTTTGTGTTCGTCGCCGACAAGGACCTCGACGCCACGCTCCGTGACTCCATCGACGAGTCCCAGCTAGCCGAGGAGTACGGGGGCAGGCTTGAGCTTCATGGCTATAACGATTCGTTACCACTGTCATCGTGCAATTAACTAAGATTGAATATATGTGTATGGGCGAGCGTAACTCATATATGGTTAGGCGCCTTGTGGTGAAACCAATTTTGTGTCGTGTTTCATAAAAATATGTTTGTGTACGGCGGCTAGTGATTTGTGAGCGTGCAATGCAATGCATGTTGATTGTACAAAGATCAGGCCAGTGTGTGTACATTGATAAAGGACAGGTGGTCAGGTGCTCTTTTTTCTTTTTGGTGGGGATTCGAACTCTACACCTATGCATTACTGCTGGAGATAGTGCTACCGCAGTAACCAACGGTGCATCATTTCGTTTGTGCTAGTTACATTCATTTATACTTTTTCGAATAACCTGTTTGTTTATTTTTTATTTTTTTTGGCCTCGTTACTTTTTTCCGTTTCCTTTTACTTTTTTTAAGATTCTCGAACTTTTTTCATCAACGAACTTGTTCAAAATTGATGAACCCCTTTTCAATTTTATGAAACTTTTTTCAAATTTGATGAACATTCCTTTAAAATTGATTTTCCAAAATCGATGGACCTTTCTTTTAAATTGACGAACTTTTTCCATATTTGATGAAAAAAATTCAATTATTTGTAAACTTTTTAAAAATAGATGATTTTTGAAAAAACTTGTGATCTTTTTTCAATGCTGAGGATCCCTTTAAAAGTTCATGAACTTTTTTTGAAAATGGACGAACTTTTTCTGAAATCGCCATATTGTTTTCAAAATCAATAAACTTTTTCCAAATTCTTGATTTTTTCAAACTAATGAACTTTTTATTAGAATGTTTTTAAATAATTCAAAAACCAAAGCACTACAGTAAACAGCACATGTGTAATAAATTACGCGACTACAAATGTTCTTAAATAATTTGCCCTGGAATAGGTCACTAGCACGTAGTAGGTTAGGTGGTTAGCCATACTCGTACCTGGTTGTCATGGCCGAGTTCGGTCCTGGGGGAGAACCGCTCATGCGCACGCGCTATGGGCTAGCCTAGCTAACATCGGCTCACTAAAAAAGCTTGTTGGCTCGCTAAAAAGAAAAGCTCACTCGCTCGTGCTTGGTCGCCTGGTTCAATCGGTTGACCAGTCAAACAGACTGTTGACTCTTCGTGAAAATAGAAAAACAAAAAAAATCACAAATCTGAGAAAAAGGTCATCAATTTTGAAAAAAAATCACACAACTGAAAAGGTTCATACGATTTTGAAAAAAGTTCATAAAATTGGAAAAGATTTCATCAATTTGTAAAAAAATCATGAATTTTAAAAACGTTTCAATTTTTTTTAAAATCACGAATTCGGAAAAGTTCATCAATTTGTTTTGGGCAAGCATTCTAAGCATGAATGTATGGCCCACTCCAGCTCAACAGATGAAGCCCATCCATGCCTTACTTCTTCCTCTTCCTGGTTGGTTCTGGAATATTTCTCAAAAAAAAATGGTGGTTCTGGAATCCTCTGGAGCCTGGGAAACCCGAGCTCGCCGCTTGCTCTCCCGTCCTCTTCCTCCCACCGCCGCCATTGTTCCGGCCCCAAGCAAGCTCCCGCAGCCCGCTCGCTTGGTTATCCTTTCGCCCCTCGCTCACTTCTCCCCACCGCCCAAGGAAGAGGAAGCCAACTCTCATCTCATAGACCTGACCTGAACCCCGCCCGCCCGTCCGTCCCCGTTCGCCTGCGTCATTGGGAATTCTCTCTCCCTCGAACTACGCCGGTAATGCCCGCTTCTGTCTCGACCCGTCGTTGCCGATCTGTGTTTTTCACGCGAATTCCGATTTGGTTCATGGCGACGTTATTCACAAGAGATTTCACCTGCATTTTGCTGCAATTTTTTAGTAGAACGGCGGGGCGGGGCGGGGCGGGGCATTCTTCCTCCCCCTGGCATGACTGGCATCGTGCCGGCCTCTGCCGTTTTGGGCGCGGTTCCTGTTGCCGAGGATAATCAGATAGCTTCTGAATGTTGGGCGACACTCTTGCAGATAAATCATTTGCTTCCCCTGCTTGGGAGTTTTTTTTTTTCGAGAGTACGCCTAGACGTACCATAGCTTTATAAAAGGCAGAATTTAGTTACAAGAAAGCTACCCCTCGATGCGAACAACGAGTGTAGCACGAACACCACACCGACAAGACCACAAACAAACACCACCGCTAGGCAAGCTACTATGCAAAAAGCCTATCCTAAACTGATACACAGCACCGCGTCTCGATCGACGCCGGACACCTCCGAAGACCACACTTCCACAGAACTTCTCTTGTCGACGCACCATCCACCCTGAGCGCCTAAGAGAAAGTGGCAGATGAATGGCAGGACTCGATCCAATCCGGGAAGACGCCGCCTTGGATTCACCAACGACCAACGTACATAGCGCCACTGAAGATCAGAAAAGGATAGCGGCGAACACCGGAGGAGAGCAACGAGGAACCAGTCGTGTCTCCAAACACAATGCTCCCAATAGAGGAGCGGCGTCGAGGACACCGCCATCGTGCCGATCAGAACATCGAATCTAGGCTTTCACCCGGAGACATCCACCAACACCAAGAGCGCGAGGGATGAGGCGAACACGCTCGACAATGCCTCCAAGGAGGGGAATGACATCCACAGATGCCATCACCGCCGGCCCGGCAGAAGCCGTGCAAAATTTTCATCCGCGCTTCGCCCATCGCCACGCCTCCATGGGATTGGTAGCACTGCCAAGAAGCCTCACACCGCCGCCACCGCAACACTTGCCGAAGTAGCTGCATAGCCGAGGACCAACGACCGACCACCCGGCAGGGAAACCGCGGCCACACATCCACTCCCAGCCTGCACGAGGGTCCGCAGCCAACCAGCACCTCCGGCCAGGTCCAGGACTGCCCGCAACGGCCGTCGCCCACTCCAAGGAACGACCTTGCGACAATCAGACCCGCCTCTCCACGGAGAAATCCCAGTCCGGCATCACTAGGAAAGCACCGCCGCTCTCCACGCCGCACAGGGATGACCGAAAGCTCGCTGCTCGCAAGACTCCATCTTGACCGAGCCATCGCAGCGCCGCCACCAACCTGCCCGTGAGAACCCAGCACTGCCTCCCGCTGGCGCCACCCCCACCAGATCGAGCCACATCTCCTCTGCCACACCCCGTCAGGCCCTCCGCATCACCACCTCACCTGTCGTGCGCCGGCCATGAGCCCTCACCTCCAGGCAACGCAGATCTGGCCTGGCACGAGCGCCTCCGCGGTGAGGAGCACCAAGCCGCCACCGGCCTGCGCGCTTCGCAGCGACACGCCATCACCAGCCAGCTGCGCCGGGCCTCTCCTCCTCCAGCCAGCGCCCACCACAGAGTCATGACGAGCCGCCCCGAGACACCGGACCAGCAGGACCTCGCGCGCTCAACCCCGCCGCCATCAGCCCCGCACCACCAGCACCGCACCACCACGCGGCGGATCCGGCCTGAGCAGCCCCGGATCCACCCCCCGACGCCGGCGAAGAGGGCCACCACACCGGATCTTGCAGCGCCGTCGGATGGATCCCCGCTAGCTGGCGAGCGCCGACACAAAGGAGCCCCGCCGCCACCATCCCTGGGGCACGCGCGGCTTCGCCAGCGTCCTCTCCGGCGGCGGCGAAGCGGATGGGGGTGAGAGGGAGTGGGCCGGCGGCGGCGCGATGGGGCTGCCCCCGAGCCGCCAGAGGAGGCGACGCGGGGGGAGGGAGCGTTTTTTTTCGCGGAGAGGGGCCTCCTGAAAATTTCTAGGCACACTTATCCCTTGCTTGGGAGTTCATAATTTAGTTTCCCGTGTTTCTTCAGGATGACATCAGATTTGGGCTATGTAGAGCAAGCAGAGTATACCACGCGTTGCGTTGTTTGCTATAGGCAATCGAGTCTGTCAGTCCACAACTTTACTGAGAGAATGCTTGGGAGTGCAGATGTGCAGTTATCTTAATACTTGTTGTGGACTGTGTTTCGGCTGAAATACGTTGTTAGTTCCCGGTGTGCACCGTTGCGTATTACTAGATGTCAATTGGACTAGGATTGACCTACTCATTAGTCTGTGTCATGGTATTATCCCTATTTTTTATGTTCCACTAGTTCTTACTGCCATTTCTCTGCACATGTGCAGCTGATACTATTCGAGCTGGATGCGGCTCTATTCACCTGCAATCTGTTTGCGGCGAGCTGCCTCAACTAGTATGTATGCTCATTCCAATCAGTTCCAAGGAGGAGCCACACAGAGTATGGTCTTATGGAACTGCTCCCGACCGCAGTCAAGCCGTTCTCATATGACATTGGGCGTAACCGATTCTTCTCATAATAAGAACATAAGATCTTCTGAAGCGCAGAGTCTCAAGTACTTTGTCAGCTTAGTGGGCCGTCGATTGCGTCGCGGATTGTCAACCAGAGAGGGCAGTCTTAATGTAAAGCTCGACATGCTTTCACGTGACAGAATGTCGGGTACTAATTGGAAATGGAGAGGCGTCCATCAGAAGATAGGAGCTACGGCTGGTGGGCTCTGCTTTGGTTTTTCAGTTTCAGGGATCGCAAGAGCCGAGATGCCTGTGGACAGAAAGATCAATTGTGCAGAAACTTCAGCGTCATCTTCTCATGGGAAGAAAGTCTACACGGATTATTCTGTCACCGGTGAGAAATGCATTTGTGTTTGGCTTAATAATTGCTTCTGTTACAAAAATAGAGTGCCTTTATGAAATTTATATTTTGTGGATACGTCAGCATGCCATTAAGCTACTGCTTGTGACTGTTTTATCTGGATTTGGCAGGGATTCCAGGAGATGGGAGATGCTTATTCCGCTCCGTGGTTCATGGGGCATGCATCCGCTCGGGGAAACCCAGGGACGGATTCAAGGGGGGACGAGGGGGGGCGAGACCCCCCCTAACGATCGTGCCGCACCTTAATAGCGATCAGTTGGTCGCTAATTTTGTTGGCTACGCAAGTGTACGTGGCTTGCTTCGCCCCCCCTGTGTGATTTGTGCTTCCCATAGCCAGCGAGGGCCCATGTAATGGTGATCAGTTGATTGCAGCCTAAAGGCCCAAATCCCAGAAAAATAAAAAGGAAACATAGCCCATCATGAAAGCGAAGGGGCCAGGCTACGAAGCAGTACCCACTAATCCCTTCGATTCCAACCTAAAAGAACTGCTCCAGAGATCGCGCCGGCCGTCGGCCGCCTGCTAGATCTTCTGTCTAATCTATCCATCCAGAAGGGAAGGCGACATGAAAGTGTCATTGTGTCGATCCAGCAGCTCATTCTGTCCGGCCGGCCTCATGGATGGATGAGCTACCTAACGAGGAAACAAGGTTTAGTTTTTATTTCCAGCATTAGATTTGGTTGTGTCTTTCAAACCATAAAAGGAGCGATTCTAGAATTAGAGATATTAACAGCTTGCTCACATGATTTGACCCTGAATTCCCAATATCGCGGCCGCTTGTGGCGATCAGCCACATGGATCGTTGTATCTTTTCTCCACCCAAACTTGATTGCGGCCGCTCATCTCAGTTGACAGCATTAGATCGTTTCTCTAGGTATAACCATAGTATTAATCAGACTGGTATTAATATATACTTTTTGACATCAACGTATTATTGATCTGGCCTGATACGGTGATCCCTAATGCATTAGTTAGTAGCAATTCTGAAGTTGCAGTAACATGTGTTCTCGGTGATAGATATAGATCTAATTTAATATACTTATCTTTTATCTCTGTTTAGCTGTACTTCTCTACACAAAAAATAAATAGAAAGAAAAGAACATATTGCTACTTTCAAGCCATCTGCTTCTTGTTCAAACTCTTTGTACTGCAAATCCAAATTCAACTTGCTAATCTTATGATCATATAGGTAATCATAGAGCTAATTTACATTGACAGTTGCAAAACATGTGCTATTTTTATACATTAATTAATACTTGTGCAACTGTTGCAAAGTATACATTTGACATTTTACGTGAGACTTGATATACATATTATTATGTGTGTGACAATTATCTCTTTTTGGGGTAAAATAAGACGGTTATCTCTTTTTGGGGTAAAAAAAGACAGTTATCTCTTTCGCCCCCCCTATGTTCAAATCCTGGCTCCGTCCCTGGGGAAACCTATCCCTAATGAAGATCTTCAGAGAAAGCTAGCTGATGAATTGAGGTCAATGGTATGTCTGGAGTGTTTCTAGGTATTTTGTTCCTGGTGCGATTGCCTTTCATTCTCTAAAGCTTCTATACAAATCCTTCTTTGTACAGGTTGCCGATGAATTTGTCACTAGACGGGAAGAGACTGAATGGTTAGTCGATGCACACTCTTACTGTTATGTTTGCTCTTCTTCATTTTAAAATGTAAATGCGGTATAGATAATTATTATTGGTACGTTTTCAACTGCTGCATTTCCTTGCATCAATGACGGACAGGTTTGTTGAGGGCGATTTCGATACATATGTTTCCCAGATTAGGCAGCAACATGTGTGGGGTGGTGAGCCAGAACTGTTCATGGCTTCACATGTTCTCCAGTAAGTAATTGGGCCTGTTATGCATTCTTCTTCGTGGATACCAAGGGTGGCTACCAGCAATGAAATATGCAGGCTTATATTTTATTAGCTAATACTCCCTCTGTCTCAAAATATAAGATGTTTTTTGACGTTCTATTTTGTCTTCGGCCTTTTCCTACTATGCTTATGTGCAATCGTTTACGAAGGACAGATATCAGTAGGGATAATGTTTGAAATATTTGCTTCCTAAGACAGATTCAGTGAAGTTGGCTAAATTCCAGTGACAGTTAAAAGTAGATAGCTAAGAAGTTCTCATGTTAATGCAAAGAGAAGGTTCCTTCTTGATTTGATGTATGCTCAGTACTCGGTTAACATGCATTTAAGCAGTACAGTCCATGAAGCAAGAAGAGCATTTAATTACTTTGTTTACACAGGATGCCAATAACTGTGTATATGCATGATGAAGATGTGGGTGGCTTAATAACTATTGCTGAATATGGCCAAGAGTACGGTAAAGAAGATCCAATACAAGTTCTGTATCACGGTTTTGGCCATTATGATTCCCTACAGATTCAGAAGACATAGGGGTCCGAAGACTATAATTTAGAATTTGGGGCTTCGAGATTCAGAAGGTAAGGCCAAAGTATTCTGGTTTCCAGGTTTCCCATGTCTATATAGTAGTTGAGATACTGATGAGTGAGACGGCGAGAGTGATTGTTATATAGCTTCAGTGATGAGTATTATTAAGCTTTGCTGCATTATTAACTACGTATGTTTTTTTTTGCGATGGTATTAACTACGTATGTTGCAAAGAAAAAACTTCACATTAGTTTTTTCGTAATAATAATGTAGTGATAAAAGAAATCACGAATCAGGATTACTGTAGTTATTCATCCCTCACAACATCGTTAACTATTATCATTCGTGAACCTGGAAAATTGACCACATGACTGTGTACCTATGACACATTTATCCCTTCTTTCAGACAATCTAGTCTAATGCACCTATAACATATCTATAACAAGTTATTATGAATCCTGAACCTCTTATGTAGATACCAATTCCCTAAAAAGCATGCATCTTTGAGGCTGAACTTTGTTGGCAGGCACCGTTTCAAAAGCATTTGATCGTGTGTAAGTGTAATAGCCTGGAGCCTGGATGACTTTGTGTGCAAGCACATGCTCGTAGAAGATGACAAGAGATACAAGGCATTCCGTTATCTGTATGAAGCCGCCGAAGGAGCAAAATTTGGATGGGAGAGGGCTGAATCCTGTTGTTGTTGTTGTGTTGTTCATGTACTCACCTCACCGTAGGGTGTAGGGTGTCGATATGCGATGTCATCTAACTTGCTGTGGACGAATAACAAAGACTACGGATTATCTAGCTAGCTAGGCGCAAGTTCTGCACGTACGTCAATGTAAATCATGAGTTATGTACAGTATGATCCACTGCTGCCGGCCATCAAGATTGTTATGAAGCACCGCATGGTCGCTGTTTTTAATCGTAACATGGGGTTCGATCATCTAGAATCTATCTTCATGTGTATAAGACGATCTTTGATGAGAAGAAACAAAATGCTTGTAATAATTAATTAAAAAGTAGTAATGCACTTTGGCTTTGTTCCACAAGAATTTCCTCTCTCCTCTAATCTCTCTCTTATACAGCAGCAGCATTTTACCGAGCACCTTGCGTGCATTCGCCCTGCACACCGGCGGCGACGCTGCCGAGCTGGAAGCATCGCGTGCATCATGTGCTGCTGCTAGCTGCAGCTGCACCGCGGCCACCACAGCCATGCGTCGCCGTCGTCCCTCGCCACGTCCATGTCCACCCCCTTCTTTGCCAGGGCGCGCGTGACGAGAGGCTGGTTCAGCGGAACGGCTGCACGGGCCGGCGGCGCGGTACAAGATGGACGGGGACGGGAGGGAGAAGGCGATGGCGCGGCTGGACGTACGGGGCGGCGGCACGGGAGGAGGAGGAGGCGGTGCAGGTGCTGCGGGTCGCCATTCTGTGCACGAGCTGCACGCCGGCCGTGCCGCCATTGATACGGTTACGGCCCATGGTGCAGATGCTGCGAGGAACGCAGTGAGCACGGCGGTGTGCCGGTGCCCGTCCATGGCCTCCGTCAACTCCATCTTCTAGGGCGGCCCCTGCTTCGAAGTTCGAACGTCCGACATCCCATGCATCCATGCGCGGCAGCGGCACAGAAGCAGAGCGAGCAACAGGTGCAGCAGCAGGGGCGGGACTCGGGAGGGAGCCCGGCCAAGTCCTCTGTGGCCGTGGCCGTTGGTGTGCTGCACCAACACGGCCGCTGCTTACTTGTACACCGGGATCAGCAGTGCATCAAGCAGTGGTGTTTCGGCGTCCCGGCCTCCGCGCTCTCAATGCAGGTGGACTGGCATCCTCAGGAGAAAACGCACAGACGGCAGGACCAGAACGAGGTGCGCCCGCGGGAGGAGGCGTCGTTGCCGCACACCTTTCTACACGCTGGATTGGAGGGAGGTCATGCCTTGGAGGATCTCCAGTGCGGGGCACGGTCGCCGGCCTTTGCGATGACGGCCGTCGGGGGTGGCGTTGCGCGGCCCAGGAGGACGCTGGTGTGCGGGGCTCACGCTAAGGCATCGTGGCCACGCGGATCGACGCGGGGCAGAGCTCGATGGTGGCTGGGGGCGGCGGTGTCGCGGCGACCACATGAACTTGAACTCCGTCCCGGACGGTGTTGTCCATCGTCTGTCTAAAGTGCATCTCGCAGATTGGGAGGCGGTCCGGCTGGACTAAGACGGGTCGATTCCATGTCAAAAAAAAAAGACGGGTCGATTTCGTGGGACCCACTAACAAGTTGGACGTTAAAGACGGATTACAAAGGAGAGGGTACGGACTTTGGGGATTTGGAGGTGAGGATTCATTTTCAGCGAGCTCTACAACTTCAAAGTTTAAATCAGATTTCACTCGATCCTAGCTACCTAGAGCTTGGACATGGAGATGCAGTTGGTGTAGCCGTCGTGCCCGCCGTACCAGTAGAAGGTCATGCCACAAGCGAGGTGCTCCCAGTTCTTGAAGGCCACCACCATGCCCACCTTCGAATGCGCCCTCGTCTGCCCGAGCCTCTGCTTAGTGCGTCCTTCATGGCTCCATCGAGCGGCATAATGTTGCTGGAGCGTGCGGTGTAGTTTCGCAGCTAGGCGGTCTTCCTCGGCACGTCAAACGGATCAGCGGCGAGGCTTATGATCATTAAAATTATTTACACCATGAATACCTACATAGTAGCACAGACCGAGACATTAAGCTGAGGGGGCCAATGCCCCCCTCCCAGTAGAAGGTCATGCCACAAGGGAGGTGCTCCCAGTTCTTGAAAACCACCACCATGCCCACCTTCGAGTGCGCCCTCGTCTGTCCGAGCCTCTACTCAGCGCGTCCTCCATGGCTCCATCGAGCGGCACGATGTTGCTGGAGCGTGCGGTGTAGTTTCGCAGCTAGGCGGTCTCCCTCGGCACGTCAAACGGATCAGCGGCGAGGCTTACGATCATTGTGTCTCTATGTCCATGAGGAGGAATATATTGCTGCAACGTACTATTGTCCCATCCAGCACTGAGATCAAGGAACTCGGCGATGTGGGCGGCACGGGATGCACCCTAAAATGTGTCACCAACACGGCGGCGGCTGCGAGCATAACCAGCACCGTGATTGTGATGTAGATGATGGTGTAGCACCATCAGAAGGGGCCGGATCACTCGCCCGTCATGCGCCAAGGCCAATACCGTAGACAGCGGTCACCGATGGAGATGATGGTGTTTGGTGTTGTGTTGAGCGTGTGGAGTATGAACAGTAAATCTTGAAGTAGGAGTTGATGTGAAGGATAGGGGACTTGTACACATTGAATTATACTGCCCAACAAATCTGTTAATCGGAGTTTGTCCAGGAGTATGTCCGATTGATATAAAATTATTTACACCATGAATACCTACA